TTATATGTGTTAGACTATTCAATCTATACGCTAACTTACAAAGTTTTGGAAATGATGATTAGGAGAAGTATATGGTTAATTTATTTATTAGTACAGTTAAAAGTTTAGGAGAAGCGAATAGAGGGTGAACAATATAACAAAAATATATATTATCATAAAAATAATCTTTTGTTATTTAAAATTGTTAATATTTTAAATAAAATATATTTAATGCACTCTATATATTCCCTTATAGGAATAGTTAATTATAGCATAACAATAATTGATGATGTTAAAGTATTGCATATAGAATAGAATTTCTAGCAAGTTATATCAATTTCTTTCCTTTTCTTTTCTTTCGTTTAAGAACTTTATCAAGATTTATTTATAGATTTCATATTGTATTTTAATCAGTGTTATTTATAAACAAAAGTATAAGTTAACTATAGCATAAAAATTTGATATTAAAATATAATATATATAAATATACAAAAGAATTATTTGCAAGTTATATCAATTTGCTTTTTCTTTTTTTTTCGTTCGAGAACTATGCCAAGATATATTTATGGATTTAATATCGTGTATTTTAATCGGTGTTATTTTTATAAGCATCAGTAAATTCACAGATGGATTGTCGACGAAGCAGCAGAAGAAACGCGAGAACGTTGGTATGGAAGAGAGATGTTTTTCAATTAGTTTCCAAGAAAGCAGAGGTTTTCGCAGGTAGCCGATGATATGCGAGTCCCTTTGTAGGATGATTAGTGATTCCTTGTTACATCCAAAGTAGAACAACAAAATCACTAGTCTTCCATACAACGGAGCTCTTTCTTTCTTTCTTTTTAATCCTGTCGATTTATAACGTTGAGAAGAAGATATAGTGTTGCCTCTACAGAGAGAATTTTCTTCGCGTCTTCATGTTTCTTTCACCTTTGACATCATCTCACTCACTTTACCCTCTCTATTCCTCTCTTTCTCATACGTATGAATTATGTATGAATTAGTCAGGATATCGTGTTAGTTTCTTGATGCACGTCATTTAAGCGGAAAATGTTATTTGGCTGGCATAAAGACGTAAAAATTGTTACTACAATGAACCGATATTAGAGATATAAAAGTGGCGATGAGTTATAGCGAACTACTATATGATTATAGTATAAACATACATACATACATACGTATATACATATATATATATACACAACATATATATACATATATAACATATATATATATATATATATATATATATATATATATATATATATATAACATAACATTTATATTACATATTAATATAATATATAATCTTCCTATAAGACTTTCTGCATAGATCTTCATATTTGTTAATATTATAATTAGATATATGACATAATTGAATGCATTATATTATATAGTGTAGAAATCAATATAAAGCATATACATCCTTCTCTTATAAAGTTTCATATATCAAATCGTAATATATTACTTTTTTATTAAACAACAGATACGAAAAAATATTTTCACTAGATAATGATGTAATGCAAAATATAAGATTCCGAGGAAAGAACATTTGTAGGAAGGAAGCATAAAATTGTTCAATGATTATTCGAATAAACGATCAATTATAGCCCCCGATAATTACCTCTGTTGTAGAAGGTACTGAGCCATCTGTATCTGACTGGGTAAGCCGATTATTGTGATAATCCGGTCATTACTACCAGGTAATGGCTCGTCTATAGTGATCGAAGCGCCACTGTCCGATCTGATTTTCCTGATTCTTGCTCCACCCTTACCAATTATTGCGCCTGCGAGCTAAAATCAAAAACGGATGACGATGTAACAACTGCTTTCTCGTGTTAAATATAGCTTTGGCGATAGTTTATTACTTAGGAAGATTAAATAATCATATATATACAATATACTGAAATGACATTGACTTACGTCCTTAGGGATGGTGACTTGAGTACTAGTCTTGGTTCCACTCATATTGTTTTGATTTCCCTGGTTGTTTCCACCCATTGATGGACCACTCATTCCGGAGTTACCAGCACCGCCTAAACCGTTTGGTGCACCACTACCTTGCATACCCCAACCATCTCCTATGTCATAACAAAAGCATTATAAGCTAATAAAAGGGCAGTTAAAAATTCTAACTTAATAATAAATTTTTTGTCAATAATATTTGATAAAATGAAAACGTTGCGTTATTTTGTTTATAATAAATAATTTTCGACGTAAAACGTAATTATTAATTTAGATTTGGGCGAGACTCCTTACCGTTATAATTTCCAGTAGCATAAGGTGGCGGGCCAGCCCTATTTCCAGCATAGCCGGCATTCCTTCCTCCATCGTATCCACCACCGTTACCAGCACCACCTCCAGCAGCTCTCGAGTTACCAGTATATCCACGATCCATCGGGCCACCCGTCATTCCACCACCTCCCGCTCCTCCACCAGCTCCTCCACGAGGTCCACCTCTTGACGATGGTGGAAAACCACGGTTCATATCACCGGGACCTCCGCCACCACCACGATTGTCTCG